AATAATTCCTCTATTAAGGCCACCATCCTCAGCCTTGAAGGCTGAGAACTGACACCTCAGAACCCACCTTTACGGGCTCTTGTGTCCGAACCCCTTCGTGGCTCTAGCAAGACAACCCCGAACCTTTTGTCTTCTCTGCCTTTCAAAAAACCAGGAAGAAATCACGGGTGCTTCGTCCCCTAGTTTCTCAAAACGTTCTTTTTAATAGTTGCCCACGTGCGACGGTGGCCACCAGAAAAAACCTATTTTGCTGAATAGACAAAACTCACGATTTCAATACTAGGACATTGATATGCCCATATTTACATCCTCAAGCCAGTTTTCAGCTACGTGATAAATATATCTGACTGTGCATCTTTTCTATACACGCCGATGAAGAGTGTTTATGTGAACACTCTCGATCGGACCATAATTTTACGTTGTATGAGAGACAGATCCGGCGTTGAAAAAATTCTGAATTAAAGAAATATGTTAGAATATATATTACCATACATAGCTTTCGCTAGGTATCACACTTCCTATTGAGGAGAGTATTTCTAGCAGTTAACTTTCAAGCTACTTGGCTATCAGATAATCTTTTTACTGATTCATGTGCGAGATTGGTTTTCTCCAATTCCTACACACACAAATCAATGGCGAAGATTCTGAGTCTGCCACTGTAAACAACAGGACGATGACCATAACATCACCGGCTTCATTTCAACGAGTCGACTACACTATAAAAGTTTTAGACTGCGGACGGGTATTTTTTCCGTACTCCCAGGACCTAAACCTGTCATTCTGGGCTGCTTACGATTTTTTATTACAAAACTCAAACTTGTTATTTGGATTGAAAAATGATGTGTCAAAACAATTTTTTGTCCGAAAAAAAAGAGAACCAGATCTTCGAGTTCGACAGCCGCAATTATAGGGAGGTGCCGTTTTTTTATTGCACAACAGATATTTATGCAAGATATCTCACAGACGTTAGACTCAAATATGTTTCTTGTTCATTCAGCAGCAGGAGCACGCTGAAATTATTCGTGTAGATCACCTACATACCGGTTTCGAGATACTACCTCTCATCAGTGCAGGAGAGATCCGACCCAAACAGCAAAGTGCCTGGAACTTGATTTATTTCAACGCGGCTTGACTACATGTATGAAACACTACTAACACCTCCAAATGCCTGCCGTAAAGTAACTACTTTCCCGGCTAATACCACGCTGATTATTATTGTTGTACCGAGTCATAACTCTTTGAAATTGGTATAACCGCCATCTTGTTTTTTTTTTTCATTCTGAATTTTTGTATCTGAACATTTCCAGCCGGTATCCATTTCATGGAAGTGTATAAAAAACTTTTTCCATCATCTTTGGAAGTCCGCATGACAAGGATTTACATGGTTTCATTTTGTTTGAGGTATATACTTTTCAGCAAACTGTTTCATTTGATACCTATATCATGGGGGTGCATAAATTCGCCATCTTGGATTCAGACTGACATACATCCGTACACCTGTTGAGGTTTTTCTGATTATAAACATCCAAAATCTAATATCTCGATAAAGGATTAACCAATTTTGAAAAATATCTGGAAGAGACCTATGTTTCCCCACTTGCTTTAAAAAAATTGAGGGGTAGCTGCTGCCCGCAATAAGGTGAAATTTCTGATCTGATTTTAAATCAAATTCGGACCTCCTCAAAATAAAAATTGACGTGTTCTTTGAAATTTGGACCACACACTATTTCAAAGACATAGAAAAGATTTAAGTTTCAGTTAAAACGATGTGTGTAATTGGTTTGGATAACTTCGTAACATGAAGTTCCATATGCCCCAAATGTGTCATGGAATTGTTACACTGAATCGTTAAAATTAACTTCAATACACCTCGAACATTATCAGATCAATATCTAAAATAGAGAGTATTAATCAGTTTCTCTGTAACGGTATTACCGACACTTTAGTTTTTTACTCGATATAAACCTTGATATCTCGATAATGAAAATAAAAGTGAATGTTTGTGTTCCACTTGAGAGAGGGTCTGGTTCGAAACAATGTATGTGACGTTCAACAAGTTTGAAATGCACTGTAGAGAATAAATAACTATATTAAGCCATAAGAAGATTTTCGAGAGGTTTTTTGATAGAGCAATGAAATATTATAATAGTGCAAGTGAAATGAATATAGATATAATTCATTCGTTCAATAAAAATGAATTTTGAAAAGAGAGTAGAACTAATATTTTTACTCCGATTTGATTCTCCCTATACCTACCTCTAGTTGAAAATAAAGAAATTCTTTCACGCTTTTACAAAACTAAACGAATATATTGATATTCAAACTAATATTAATGATACCTAAAGTACATAAGAACTTTCTATTCTCATTAATAAATCTTATTGATTTTAACGGATCAACGGTCGCCGAGTGGCGACATCTGTCAACAAAAGCAAAAGAACTTTAGCGATCCGCCGTCTCAAAAAAATGTAGATAACTTCCATAAAACGTAGTACAATACATCTACTCTAGATGGCGCTTCCAGAAAAAGCACCACACCTTACACGTCAGTCGTCAGTTATACAGTATGTTCGAATAATGAAATTGAAATAACATCTAGGAATTCTAAGACAGAACAATTGAAACAATGAATGATTATTTCTCTTCATTGATAGTCAGACCTGATTTCTGAATTCGCGTATGATATGAAACCTCTTCCATTTGTCAATATCCATTATACATGGTTTTGTAACATGCATTTATTGTTACCACTTTGTCGTTCCCATCCCGCATTCAAACTGGTTTTGATTTTGTAATAAAACAGCGCCAGTATATGTTAGAATGTATTTGTGAGAATGTTTTTGAAAATGGTAAGAAGTGCTTGGATTACTCCTATACCTACACTATTTTGAATTTGTATAACGCCGTTTTGGAATAAAATGTCTAATGAATATAATTCGCAGCGATTGAAATCCAAAATGAATTGCACATCGTTATCAGAAAGTCATCACCATAAAAAAATACATTACCTACTGGTAATGCATCCACCATTTTATAATATCCATAAAATAAAAACATTCGCAATACAAAAACGCCATATACAGAAGATTCAGAAGACACAAACAACGAATATCAAAGATGAAGGAGGCTCTTTCATCTTTGATATTCGCCTTAGCTTCACCATGAATATGTTAAACACACATAATATATAAATAGAATACATAAGATACAGATAGTCAGTATTTTGAGATGAAGAAAATTTCATGTTCAATACAAAAAATATAAGAAACAAATAAAAATACTATCTTTTAAGTTACATCAGTCCTAACATAATGGCAATTAGTTCACATGTTGACCAGTGTACCATCAAAAAATGACACGTGTGCCACTATTGTTTATTTCTGCAGAACCCACTTTATACTATGTTATCCTAATTAAGATATTCAGTAAATGAAAGAGTCAATTGGCAAAAATTACAAATTATCTGAACATTACATGGTTACTTATGCAAGTAACACTTTTTTGTGGTATTCTCACTGGAAAGTTCACAAAACCACAGAACGTGTTTCGCTAAACAATAGCTTCATCAGGTGTGTTCATACTGATACAAAGAAATTCAGTTTCTGTAGTACCCCTGAAGATGTCAATCAGTTAACTCGTGTCGATAAAAAGTTGAGAAATCAACTCAACATAAAAAACGCGCGATGATCTCTTTCAGGAGGGGGGAGTCGTTTTCATATCACTCTACAGAAATAGTTATTTTATCTTTGAGCTTGAGATTTTGAGAATTTGAAAATTCCATCATTTTGTTATATGCACCTCCGTTTTCCAAAAATCTCTCATTTCTGGATAAATCAATAACGAATTACGCGTTAATACATATATGGAAAAACTTTTATTGCCTTGACTATAACTGGGAAATACATTATGAATCATCGTGACTTCACCCACAACCGCAACATAGGCAACAAATAATGATTCACACTGCGACGCAAAGCGGACTGCCTAGCTATCGGCGCAGACATCGCATCGCGAATTCCGACCAAGCATCTGTTTTTAGTCAACAAATATCCATACTTTTTATTACAATCAAAATGAATGGTAAATTTTCTTATGATGCTTCACTGAGTTTCGGTGAGTTGAAATTTGCGTGAAAGTGCATTGCGGTAAATTACACAATGACTTGCGCGTATTTATAATCATTGTTCTGTGCTGTGTTTGCGCTATAAAAATATTCCTGGAAACCTGACCACAGTCCGAATACGTACACAAATACACCAATTGAGTTATGTAAAGCTAGAGTATCGTCTAACCTGCCAAATATATATTTGCGACGAAAATATCGCAGGAACACATCAGCCAGACAAGGGAATTCGTGAGTGAATAATTTGATTTTCTTGCAAATCAAATTGGCACTTGTTGCGTCTTATTCCCAGAACTCTTTTGGGCGTAACGCGATGGTAATCTGGTATTCTGTATTTTCCGTTATAGGGTCCTGTGGACACGAGACAGTAGTGTAGGATGTGAAATATATGATTCGATAAAATCGAAATTTCACTGGTAAATCGAGTGTCGCAAAATAACGGGAACCCCGTATCGTAACCATTCGATTTTCGTTCTCAATTTTCATTCATATATCAGTCGCGCTCCCCGTGACCGTCTCGTAAACTAAGACACGGTTGCCAGACAAATAATAAGTCCCATTTTTTACGGTAATTCGTACTGTCAGCAAACTTATCATTATTAAAAACTATTGAAAAGCGTTTCTTGGAACTAATTCTTACCAGATTCGGATTTAAATCTATAGTTCAAGAATCAGAATTAGAGTCTTCGAATTAATTGTTGTATAAAAAAGTCTCTTCAGTTTGATTTGAACGTGTAAACTGTATCTACTTAGTGGATAGTAATATTGCTTGTGATAGAAATATGTTGAAAGTAACATGCATTCTCTGTCACTAGTCTGATGGTCCTGGGGATAAAATCGAATCATCTAATGATTAACCTCGATAGTAAACCGTTATAGTAGGACAGAATGTGCGTCGAAATACGATAATTTTGGTCGATTTGCAGATAAGTGATCTTACGTATCTGGCAACGCCGGATCGAAGAACGAAATACGTAGACTCGAAAGTGGACGTGTGTGGAACGGCATGAAGAAAAACGTCAAATATGAAGAAATTTTATAGTTAAAGTGAAAAAGTGCGATACGACTTAGTGTGTAAGATGTGTGGTAACGTGTGTATGTGTAGATAATGCCGTTAATTTACCGAATAACTCGGAAAGTACATTTGTAAACAAACTGAGCTAGTTTCGTTCTTTCAAGATGGCTGGACGTTGAAGAGATTCTTTGTCCGTATGCCAGTATGAAAGTTGAGCAATTCGCCCAAAGTAGGAGGATCGAAAGGTAAGAAAATTCCCCAAGTTATGTGTCGAAGCAATTTTCATCTTCGAAAGTGTGGGCTAAGGCAATATGGTGCAATGCCGACATTTTGCGTCTACTCCCAATGAATAGGCGGCCCTGGTTGGTGGCCTCGTCTGTTACCCAGATAATGTTTTCTTTTTAATTTTATTTCTGCCGTTTGTCGCAAGTTAACACACTTTCCAGAGAACCTCTAAATACGTATTTATGATGCCTTCGTTTCGATTTACGATATTTTAAATGAGGGGATCCGACAGAGAAGGTCCTGAGCCAGGTCAAGTAATGCGTAGGTAGCTTCTAGGAAAATAAAAACAAACGTATTTGGGAAACTTCCCTATAATTGAAATTCGATAAATGCTGGTGATTTTGTACAATGCTAATCACTTTAGAGTGAAAGCAACTGCCACATACTTCTTTGAAACACTCCCCCGCATCTATTTAACGGTATTTTTGTTAGTAGAGTATCTACTGAGAACCAGAATCAGTTGATTATTCATTTTAAACAAATAACCTCAAACTATTAACAAATATGTTTGCTAAATACATTTTATTTGAACAACCATCTATCTAATTTCATACAGGAATTTATCAAATACATATATACCTAGATACTGAGAGAAGAGATGCTCTAAAACTTGCCAAACCCAATGGCCTTTGATCCTATTCATATCTTCACCAAATAGATAATTTTGACTTAGAGAATCATTAATACTATTCCACTGAAATTTTTTTGATCATTGGAAAAATCTATCTTGGAATTAGCAAATGAAAGACTCCAGGATTTACAAAGTGGATGTATTCATTGGGATTGTGTAAAGGTCATTCAAAGCACTGATGAGGATAGTATCAGCCAGATAAATAGGTGTTCATATTAGTTTTACTAGAAACGGACACTTAGTGACAGATATTGAACAGTTTTTTTTTATATATTTCTTCAATTTAAAGCAGGTAATAATATTATTTCATGGTGAAACTGTCTGTTATATAAGTGTAGTTTAACTAAGTAATAGAAACAGCAGAACTTTGGGCCTTTTTGGTATAAAAACAACCTAAAATGATGTAATTCAACTAAAGCCAAAAATGTTCCTAGTTTGTCTTTCACATAATACTTCCATAAGGAAAAAACAATTAGACATTGCTCTAGTAAATTCAAATCCAGTTTATTTATTTTAAGTGTTTGAATTGTGTAGAGTACACTTCCATTTTGTTAGATTTTGAATTAGTAAGGGTGATGACGTCTCCTCTTATGAAGACGCCACCTATGAGATCGACAGAGAACCCAATCTTGAAATATGAAAGATAAACGAGGCTTCCCAGACGGTCAGTGGCCTAAGACAAGCTTGGACTTTGACTGCTGACGAGATTCTTCCTCTGTCTTTCACTGCAATACAAGTAGTTGAAAACCATAGCGCGAATATAAAGTGTTTTGTTCCAAAATCATATTCTTCCATATGTTCTTGAAGTAAGGGTGCTTAAGTGAGAAATAGGAATATTTATAATTGACCTAATTTAGGCCAGTTTTCTACTCTTCCCAAAGTTTTTGCTGTTCCTTTGTACGAAGATTGACATTGAGTTAGCGGAACACATGATATACATTAGATTAAGAGTGAATTCATGAAATTTTGTCATTGTTTTCATTGATTTGTGATACTGTGGATTGTCTCGATGAAGGAGCACTTTCTTTTTCTACAAATTGCCCTTAAAGCGCTGTTGGTGGTTTTTCCCTTTTCAAGATAGTCAATTAATATTAAAAGAAGACTAAACAAAGGTGTTTCTCATAGATATCAATGGAATAAATAGTCGAATTATTAAGGAAACTCAGGATATTATTCTTGTCCCATTTACCAATTTGATAAATCTAATCTTTAAAACAGGTAATTTTCCTAACAACTTCAAATATTTAAAAGTGATACCTCTCCACAAGAAAGGTTACAATGAGATTGTTGATAACTACAGACCTATTTCTATTATAAGTATCTTTTCAAAAATCATTAAAAAATTAATTAAGAAAAGACTCACCAAATATTTCGAAATCAACAATTTTTTTTTGTAGTTATCAATTTGGTTTTCGCGAAAACTGCTCTAACACCGATGCTACTATGAGTGTTGTCAGAGGCATAGTTGAGGGACTTGAGTCCAGGAAGGTTGTGGGGGTTACACTATTGGACCTGTCAAAGGCCTTTGACTGTGTTTCCCACAGCATTTTACTTGAAAAACTCATATTATGGTTAAGAGGTACTCCTTCGGATTTGATTGACACTTTCATCATAATCATTTCCAGAGAGTTTTTTATAATAATACATTTTCTGAGCTGAGGACGATTGACCCAGGTGTACCGCAGGGATCTGTTTTGGGCCAGCTTTTGGGCCCGCTTTTGTTCGTTATTTACATCAATGATTTTTACAACTATATGAAGCCATGTCACAGTGTACTATTTGCTGACGATACGATAAACTCTTCTATGAATTATTCAGCTCTTGTTGATAAGTCTATGGAAATACAAGAAAAAGCTGAGCACTTGTTCAGTGTCAACAAACTCATGATGAATAAGGAAAAATCACAAAACATGATTGTTTCTATGGCTCTGCCATTACCTGAATTCCAGTGTGTCAAATTATTGTGTTTTACTCTGGACGATAGGCTAAATTGGTCAAGCCACATCTCAAGTTTGAAAAGTAAGCTATCGAGTGCCTTATTTTTACTTAGACAGCTGAAACCAATAACAAATTTCACTACGTTGAAAATAGTATTTTGCTCGGTCGTAGAGTCTCACATTTCTTATGGTATTCTACTTTGGGGAAATTCTAGTGATGCCCAATGCATTTTTATATTACAGAAAAAAGCTCTGAGAATTCTTGCTGGAATCGGTTTTAGGGATTCTTGTAGTGAATCATTCATCACTCATGAAATTATGTCGGTGCCTTCTTTGTATGTTTACTCAAGCCTATTATATATTCACAAAAGGGCCTGCTTGTTTCCCAAATAATCCAATTTACACAATCATGATACACGTAACAGCAATTTTATTAGACCTCAATGTTTCAGGCTGAAGAAATCACAAAAAACTCCTATTATTTTAAATTGTATAATGCACTTCCTGCCAATATTAAAAATGTGAATATGTTTTGTTTTAAAAAAGTTATAAAAAATATTTGAAAAAAAATGTTTTTATTCCACCAGAATATTTAGAACATGTGCGTAGACACACTTTTGACGAAAGGAAGATGCTCGACGAACCTCCACACTTGATTTGTTAATATTTTATAATGTACCCTGTAAACTTGTAATAAATTTTTACTGTTTATTTTATTTTATAGAAAACGTTTTACCTTGCACCTATTTGTTTTTCTGATTTGTCATAAATGTATTCGATACATAACATGATCAAATAAATATATCTATCTATTATACCATGCGCATCCCAAAATACTGATAATACTATAACCTTGCCAGCGGACTGTTGCTGTGTCTTTGCACTGTTTGGAGACTGTTAACCAGGTGCAGTCCTCTCAGATGACAATCATTTTGATTCTGGTGTGAAATGATGGAGCCATGTTTCATTTATTGTCACATATCAACGCATAAATTCAGGTTTTTATGGTGGAACTAATATACCGACAGCTGTGACTACTTAAAATTATATGGATGTAATACCAGTAGCCCCATCTGTGTGTTAGCGTACAAACTTTTCAGCCCACCTAATAATACATAGCTGAATTTGTTATTATTGAGGTTACAAAAATGATGAAAACAAGTTAAGGTCCCTATTAAAGAAAATAAATTTGACGATGAAACCTAATGAACGAAAAATTGCATTGCAAATTGGTTTATTTCAGATTATAATAAATATGAAACAGTATTAAAAGTTCCTCTGCCTTTTGTACACCATCCAAAATGTGGGCGGTTTCTATCACTTCATATTAACAGTAGCCTCTTGTGAATACTGTTTCAAATTTTATTTCATGTTGTTAGAGGCCTAGTCTGTGTATTGAAAAACTATGTGATATTGTCAAATAAAGAATTAGGTTCGCTATTGGCTGATACATTTCGAATTTTATTTCGTAGCTTTGTGACTCACAATGTCAGACACTGCTCTAGGACCAGACATATTTGAATTTGGTTCATATCTTTTCCAATTACAATTACACAACTCAAGGGGGTAGTAAGCCTCAAAGGATCAAAAGGAATATAATCTCTTGTCAACATTTGTTTACATTCCAAGAAGTTCAAAGGTTCAGAAGTATAGCTTATTTAGAAACATAATTTGACATTGACTTGTTCTATTATTGTACATGGAATAAATTTAACTTTATTCTCCCATTTCATTAAAGTTTATGCATTCTTACTGATGTTCTAAATTACAATTTCCTGAATCCATTCCTAATAATAGGTATACCAGTGCATTTGAACTAATAGTTATTCTATACCTGCAAAAAGTGAAAGAACCATAAGTATATAAATGGTTGGGTCTAGGGATGGAAAGGCATTATTCATAAACAACTGTTTAGTTGTAACTTTTCTGTCACAGAGACAGCTTGTGACTATAGACTTCTTTTTCCTCAAGAATTACCTTGCTTTTATCATAATATTCATTAGTACTCTCTTAAAATGTGTTATATGAAGGTGCCACAATCTACTCACAAAAATATGGTAAGGAATAAAAATACATCTTTCAGTTTACTAATCTGCTAAGTGATGGGAATGATAAATTTTGTGGATATGTGAATGAAGTCGATTTATTAACTAGTACTAACTGAGCTAATAGTATCAGAACCCTCGATGAACTTTTGAAGCATGTAGTTTTTCTTTGAGCTCTTGTATTCAAAAACACCACAAATTTCGTTTTGGAAAATGTGAAAATTATCATTCCCTATTTTTCAATTATTGTTTTACTTGAAGTATTGTTTTAATTAATATACAGTGTGTCCAAGGTAAGGAAAGCCAGCTTGGGAAATAAAGTTGTCTATTTGAAATCTCATTTGAAA